GTAGGATATTTTACAGAACTAGAGTTATGTTATGCTGAGTTCTGAGAAATGTATAAGCTAATGTGGTTTATATCAACAGCTGGATATTATTTATGCAACACAGGGTTTTTTGTTTTTTATAGGAAGAAAAAAAATCATTGACAAGTTTCAGAATAAGTAATTTTTATATATAAATCCACAATAACCTGCACTCCAGGGTAGTATAGGCTACTATGCCTGATGCTGCTCTGTAATAGTTAAAGTACAATTCCAAAGATAGCACTCCAAGGACTTTTTACCTCTTCAAAAATAAAAACATTTTGGTTTACACTTTCATCGGGATAACAAAGCCAACAGCTAGATGTTCAGGTGCCGACTCACACCGCTGGTCTGCTTGTGGCCCGCTACCTGCCGTTCACGGTTGCATTCCAATGGTTGGTGACAGGCTGGAACTCAAATGTAGGGATTTGGGAAGTGCAGGTAATTTTTTTTTCTTTGGTTTTTACTGTATGTATTGGGGCTGATGCAGGGCCGGCCTTAGGGGTGTGCGAGCTGTGTAATGCATGGGAGGCAGTCTGATACCTCTGGCCTGCACTTCCATTGGCTGTCATAAGTAGCTGATTTCCAAGCTCCGGCGTTGTGTGTTGCTGATGTGGATTACTAGAGGAAAGCCTTGACACTGTAAATGCTTGCGCTAACGAGACAGTTATCCATAGTCTGCACCTGGTGAAAGGGCAGACCAGATTCCCAACACCAGAGATCAACATTCCCCCATCACTGCAAGGTAACAGGGAAGTGGGAATTACAATTTGTTTTTAAAGGGACACTATAGTCACCAGTGCAACTACATGTATTCCTGCCCCGATAGTGTTAACACGACCATCTAGCCCCCGTGGACCCCTCATGCCTCCATAAATATAGTAAAAATCTTACAGTATTCAAGCCAGAAGCTGTAAATCTGCATGCTGTTAGAATCGGGAAAAACAAGCAGTCTGCTGACATGTGATAGCCTGATCAAATCACAGTGCTTCCCCATGGGATTGGCTGAGACTGACAAGGAGGCAGATCAGGGACAGAGCCAGCATGATTCACAGCCCTGGCCAATCAGCATCTCCTCATAGATATGAATTGAATCAATGAATCTCTATGAGGAAAGTTCAGTGTCTGCATGCAGTGGGAGGAGATACTGAATCACAGGATGCTCGTGCACAGCAGATCTGAGTGGATGGAGGCATATTAAGAAGTCCCTCTGGTGACTGCAACTGGAGGTGTTTCTAGCTTTCAATGTAAACACTGTATTTTCTGAGAAAATACAGTGTTTACATGAGAAAGGCTGCAGTGAGCTATAGTTCTCAACTCAACAACCTCATTAAGCTGAAGTTGTTCAGGTGACTATAGTGTCCCTTTAAATCATTATTAATTTAATAAATCCCCTATAAAAACACTACACCTCTATACACACACACATGTATGACCATTGAAGATGGGGGGAGAGAGAGGGCACTGTGAAGATTTTTTGCAGAGGGCGCGTAATAGCCTAAGGTCGGTGTTCTATCAGAAAACTATACCCTATCAGTTCTCTATACCTACGTCACTTCTGGTGACGCGGCCGCACCGGAAGTGACGTGGATCAGCTGGAGGACGGGCTGTGCGGCACTGTGCAAGCGCAGAACCACGGGGTAGGGAATATTTACTGGCAGAGCTGCGGGAGAAGCGACCACCTAATGTGCATGTGCGAAGCAGATCAGCTGGGCACCGGGAGACACTGCACATGCACCCGGAGCCTCAGCTTGGGGTAAGAGGGTGTGTGCGAGCCACACAGATAGGGAACAATAATGGGGCAGTGAGCACGCGCTGCAAAGTACTCCCGTCGGCCAGACACAGCGGGATACACGCGCACCATCGGACAGTGAGAGACACTGATTTCCCTACCACACACTGCGCCTGTCTAACACATGGACACCACGCGTGCCGCTATAGATCTTCAGGTCAGTCTCTCCCTGCTCCCAACACTCTCAGCCATCCGGGGGTTTGGGGGTTTGTGCAGTATATTGAGGGGTCTGTGCTGTATATTGGGGGGGGGTCTGTGCAGTATATTGGGAGGGTCTATTCAGTATATTGGGTCCCAGGGTAGCTCATTAGTTATAATTTCGGGCTAGAAGCTATTGAGGAGTATATCGATGAAGATTTGAATGCCTCTCAAGGATTAAATACATTTTTTTGATATAGGTACATTTTAGAATACAATTATTTTTTCTTTATAAGGTAATTTTTATGTGCAGGTTAAAGGGATTACATTGGGCACCAGGTTTGCCCTCAATTATGCCAGTATCTACATGAGGATATGGGAAGATCTCTTTGTGTACGCTGGTCATGACTGGATGACATCCCTGGGACTTTGGTGGTGTTATATTGATAATATTATTATTTTGGAGGGGAAGTTATACATCATGTAGTGATTTTGTAACATACTTGAGTTGTAATGTATTTAACTTAAAATTTACTCCAGTGTGGGACAGAGAGAGAATTAACTTTTTGAATGTTACTCTTTTTTTAGGAGGATAGGGATGTACTATCACCACCAATCATGGCTGAAAGGAATAGCTAAAAGTAAATTGACCAGTGTTAAGTGCAATTGTTCCAAGGTGGAAGACTTTAAAGAATAGGCCAATCATATTGAACATAAATAAATACAGAGGGGATACAATAAGAACCGTGTAGAGAAAGAGATTAGAGTCATGTCAACGAAAAAAATGAATGAACTACTTATGGATGACAATAAGTTAACAGCCAATTAAACATGTGTTTTTATAATGATATAATACACACTATAGGGAGATAAAAATGTGCATAAGCAAATATTGGTCGATTCTCTTGAATGTTCCCATTTTGGGGGCAGAGTTGCTGAAACAACCTCTTAAAATTTAGAGGATAAACTTAAATCTTAAAAATATGATAGCACCCAGATATATTAAAGAAGTCACCATTGATGGGGAGGAACCTCCAACACAGGCTTTAAAGGTTGTTAGAGATGCAAAGCTTTTACCTCCATTTGTTTGGAGGCCTCAACACAATTTATCAGTTTTTTCACCAAAGAAACTTTCCCTATATTGGTTGCCACATGGAGTAGCTTATTTATTGCAGTGTCCGTGCAGTAAGCAATATGTGGGCCATACTAAGAGGCAAGGTTAAGTCACATTCGATTCTGAATGGGTCTGGAAAGGGTAACTCCTATTTGGAGGGGGGAGATAGGTTAAAATTGATATCTCAGTGAGAGACCTATTGGATACACAGACTGCCGACTTTGAAACCGAAGGGATTAAATGTAGATATTGATTTGGTGTGTTAATTGTGAGAAAAGTTCCTCAGTTTACTCTTCAAAAAAGTTTTTTTTCCCTTTGTTTAAAAATATTTTCCAATATATTTTATTTTCATAGATTTTTCCATATTTGTTGAAATCGACTTTTATTGAAAACATATACATCACCCTCGCAGGGGACTCCCTCAAAGGGGAGCATATTTTTTAATATATATTTTTCAATACATTTTCTATATATATTATATGGAATGTAATTCTTTGTTGAGCTAGTTTGCATATGCCCACCCAGAATCCCTTGAGGTAGTAAAATCAAGTCTTATGGCAGATATTTGTTTAACATTGTATTGACTATACACTGACTTCAGGTGGAAGGGGTTTTCAATCACAATTTTACCCCACCATAAATTTTTTGGTTTTTGCTTTGTTTGTATATATATATATTTTCTCTCATATATGTTCATTTCATGTTCAATCAATTTTATTTTTCTCAATATATTTTATGCTTTTGAGCCTTTCTGGAAGGGTTTTACTGAGGAAGTTTTCGATTTGTTTTATGTGCATAAAATGTATCATTGTAATGCGGCCCTGGCCTGTGCAGTACAACCGCCCGGACTGCATTGAAGGGTCCATCGGGTGCCCCATGCTGGTAAGGCCACCTGATGGCAAAGTATTTCCAGGGGGCCCAGTCAGCGCTGCGGTGCTTTAACAGCGCAACCGGGCCCTCACTGATGATATCAGGTGCTGGGAGAAAATTACTGCCCTGGTCACTTCCTCCCAGCAATCACCGGGAGCCGCGCGGGAGGTGGAAGGAGAGGAGGGAGCTTGTGTGTGCTTGTGTAGGTGGTTCTGTATGTGTGTTTTTCTGTATGTATGAGTGTTTGTATGTATGTTTGTGTCTGTATGTGTGTCTGTATGTGTCTGTATGTATGTCTGTCTGTATGTAGATGTGTGTGTGTTTGTATGTATGTATGTATGTGTCTGCATGTATGTGTCTGCATGTATGTGTGTGTGTTTGTGTATGTTTTTCTGTATGCATGTTTGTATGTATGTGTCTGTATGTATGTTTGTGTCTGTATGTGCATGTATTTCTGTATGTATGTATGTATGTATATGTGCGTGTTTGGATGTATGTGTCTTCATGTATGTGTGTCTGTATGTGTGTGTGTCTGTCTGTGTGGGTGTTTGTATGTGTGCCTGTATGTATGTTTGTGTCTGTATGTATGTTTGTGTGTATATGTATGTCTGTATCTATGTGTCTCTGTATGTGTGTATGTGTGTCTTTATTCATGTGTGTGTGTTTGTATGTATGTGTCTGTATGTATGCATGTATGTGTATGTGTGTGTGTGTCTGTATGTGTGTGTCTGTATGTATGTTGTATGTGTCATGTGTGTGCCTGTATGTGTGTGTGTGTGTCTGTGTGTGCATGTGTGTCTATATGTGAGAAGTATTTTGCACCGTGGCCCTGTGGTTTCTAGTTATGCCTCTGAGTATATGCCATAATGAATTGTACACTTGCACATACCTGTATTTCATTTATTAATGCCCTTTATATGATAATTATGCACTTATTAAGGATATATGCACATTATGAATATTAAGCAATTTTAGGATATTATCCACTGTATTTAATATAATTAATACAAATATGTATTTTTAATCTAATTAGTCATAGTTTCTAGTGCATATCCTAGGTGTTCACACCTTCTCCAGTATCTAAATTGCGGACATTGACGTGATGCATACACTGACGTCTGTGAAATGCAGATAACTGAAGTCAGTGGAATGCATATCCAGCATTGGAGGAGATGTAAGTGGCAGTAACGTGTTTGATACACATTTTCATATGTTCAAAATGGTTCAGGCAGGAGTCAGAGATGTAATTGGGGATTTCTTACAGCTGAAGAAGAGGGAATGAATTGAGATGAAGGATCCGAATGGCGGTTGGGAGCACAAATTATTAGAACAACCACAAAGCCACCAATGAACTTATATAATTCTCTGTTTTATTGAGGCATGAAAAAAGATACATGACAGAGAAAATGGAGTCATAACAAACATCACATAGGCTTGGTAAACATAGAGAGGAAATAATTTCTAGCAAAATCTGCCTACTTTTTATAGTATTAGAAAATAGACAGGAACACAGTTCAGGTTGAGTAGTCAGAGAATAGGAGAATGTGCAATACTAAAGAACTGCAAGAAACATCAAGAGGTAATTACCACTGGTCAGTGACACAGACCATAGTAAATGGTGTATATGAGCACAAAAGAAAAGAAAGAATTATTATTATTATTATTATGTTATTTATATAGCGCCGTCAAATTCCGCAGCGCTTTACAATGGGTTGACGAACAGACATGTAGTTGTAACCAGACAAGTTGGACACACAGGAACAGAGGGGTTGAGGGCCCTGCTCAATGAGCTTACATGCTAGAGGGAATGGGGTAAAATGACACAAAAGGTAAGGATAGTATTAGACTAGTGACAGTTGCAGAAGAGGAATCAGTCAGGAGCTATTAACAGTTTAATTGATACGCTTTTATGAAGAAGTGGGTTTTTAACGATTTTTTGAAGGAGTGGAGACTGGGTGAGCATCTAACGGAGGAAGGAAGCAATTTCCACAGGAATGGTGCAGCCCTCGAGAAATCTTGAAGGCGAGCATCAGAGGTGGGAGTACGGACAGAAGATAGACGTAAGTCTTCAGCAGATCGTAAGGGCCTAGACGGGACATACTTGTGTATAAGAGAGGGTAGATAGGTGGGAGCAGCATTATGTAGAGATTTGAAAGCAAGAACCAGAATTTTAAATTGAGCTCTATATTTTATAGGAAGCCAATGTAGGGACTGATAGAAGGGTGAGGCATGAGAGGTGCAGGCAGACAGGAAGATGAGCCTCGCCGCTGCATTCATTATGGACTGTAACGGCGCTAGTAGGGAGCACATAAGACCACTGAGAAGCGAATTACAGTAGTCAAGGCGAGAAAGGACAGTGGAATGGACACCTTAGTCGCATCTGGCGTTAAGTAGGGGCGGATGCGCGCAATGTTTTTGAGATGGAAATGACAGGATTTGGCAATAGATTGAACATGAGGCTTGAAGGAGAGGTCGGAGTCAAAGAGAACACCTAGGCAGCGAGCCTGCATGTAATAAACATATCAAACATTGAATCAAACATATCAAACATTGTGCACTGCAGGTACAACATATGAACAGCTAGGCTGCCAGAAAGTTCAGTGGCCACTCAACCGATGCCTAAGGGTGGTGAGACCCAGCTTCCAGCTCCAGCAGTCATCACAGAGAGATAACTCCATAAGGACCATGCTACTTGTGCCAGCATCTGCTTTTTAGCCTCACCAGTGTCTTTATCAAGAACCTCAGTCTTAACAAATGTTCTGATACAACTGAAATGTTGATTGTTTCTAATGCTAGACCCAAGAGCACCTTTTTTTATATCTACAATGCCAGCCAATTAATCATTCTACATTATATACCAGGAAATTCAGATTTAAAATGTGTTTTCTTGTATTGACAATAAGACAAAATCAACCATGTTAAATAAATAGACAAGAATAAAAATCTATGTAACAAAATCCTATATAACATTGAGAAGATCATTGATCATGGTAAAGAGTATAATTAAATGGTACTAAGGTAGTTTATATAATATCAGAAGTTAAAAAAATTCCAAAGCCTTGATTTTGTTCACAGTATTTAGAAGTAGGTACGCGCTATCTAAACACATAATTAAAAATCTTCTATAATATATTAATATTCTGTTTCTCGTTTAAACCTTGACAGAATCTGCATATAAATTATTATATCTGCTGTAATTATCAGTCAACAAAACATTTCTCATCCTTTGCCAAAAGAAATCTTCAGCATGTGGATTTTTTGGCCATTCCAAGATAGAGCTCTTACATATTTTTCTTCTAAGTCTGAGGTATTGTGAATTCTGTAGAACTGGTTGCAATAGTACAATTATAATCACATCCATATTTTCATCCATCAGTTTTTGCAAAGCCAGGTAAAATGCTGTTTTGAACTTTCCACTTTTCACATATTTTTTGGTGAGAACAAACAATGTCTTTCTGCTAGTGTCAATACTTAGTATAATATTATCGATAACAGCTTTTCCTGGTTCCCAATCCCTTTCTTCTAAACAAAGGACGTGTTCTTCACCATTACCTTCCAAGTGGTGACATAATTCATTGAAGACCCAGTCACTAACAGCTTCATCTTTGGTATCGTAAGATATATAAGCATCAAATAAGGTTTTTGAGGTAGAGATTTTACTTCTTTTAAACTGTGCAGCAAACCAGTTACAGATATACCACATATCCCAATAAAATATATGTTTCATAATGGGCAATGCAGTGGAAAGTATAACTAGGCAAAAAGTAAAAAAGAAAATGAGCATACATGTGCTATCTAAACTACAAGCATGCAGGTCAAAATATATAATGCCAGTTCCTTTTTTATCATTGGGAGTAGCGCAAAGGACATCAGTGGCCAATCGTGGAATTGTAACATTATTTTCATTGATCCACATTATAAAGTCTGATATTTCACATCGACAATCAAATGGATTTCCATTCAACTTTAAAACGTGTAAATAATTTTCATTGCCTGACAAGAATATAGACTTATTTAAACTCTGAAAGTTGTTGTAACTCAAGTCTAAATAGGTAAGATTGCTTGCCTGGTGTAGGAATGCAGGAGGCAAACTAGAAATCTTATTGCTATTGAGAATAAGTTTTTTCAGTGAATATGCATAACTGGCCACGTTGGTCATGATCATTGTAATTCTGTTATACCTAAGATCGAGAAGCTTCAGATTTTTAAAGTGCATCAGACCTTTCCAGTCAATAAAAGTAATTCGATTATTGTTTACATGCAGCTCCGTAAGTTTTTCTGGCATACTGTTGATCACCTCACCAGTAAGTGCATAAAGTCTGTTGTGAGATATATCAAGAATATTAAGATTTCTAAAGTGCTTAAAAATGTTTACATACCGTTTGTCCCCATTTTTCCATAATATATCTAAACGGTTTCCAGCAAACCTTAACTCTTTCAAAGAGCGACTCTTAATTTCACACTCAGTTAGAGTAGATATCTCATTCCAGCTTAAATTTAAGACCTTGATGTTATGTAGATTTTCAATAAATTTCAGGTGATGTGTTACACTTTCCACTACAAAATAGTGCTTATTATAACTTAAATCCAAGACCTCTAATTTTGGTATTTCCTGAAATGCATTGAAAGAATCAAAATCAAGTTTATTAAAAGACAAATCTAAGTATGTTAAGTTTCCTAGGTATATAAACTCAGTTCCATTTAAATTCTGACCAATATCATTTGTAGATAGATTCAAACATGTTATGTCTCCAAATGACCTGAAGTTTTCTGGGTCAATATAGAAAATGCTGTTCAAGCTAAGGTCCAATGTTTTGCCACTTGAAACACACTGGGGCTTTCCTGCAGGTAGGAATTTCTGGACCATCTCAATATTCAATTTTGAAGTAACATCAAATTTATTAAGTTTTCTTTCACCACCTTTTGAAGATAACTCCAAACACTTGCTTTTATTGACATTCTCAGAGAACGGAGAGATTTTATTCTCGGCCAAGTATATTACTGTTAAATTGGGAACTTTTTGGAACAGTGTAAATTCAACTTGCGTGATAAAATTCACTCCAAGATCTATTACATTTAAATTATGAAGTTTTGTTATAGGATCCAAATTATAGCTAGTAATATCTTGAAAAACATACCCCTGTAAGTGTAATTCTTTAAGGGATGTCAAACTGGAAAAAGTATTAGAAATATTAACATACTTTGGATATGACTGTAACTCATAATTAAAAGATAAGTCAAGTATTTCCAGCAAAGGCAGTTTAAGTAAAAATTCTGCGGATTTCATTTCTTCTACCAAATAATTTCTTTCAAGATGTAAGATTTGTAAACGAGTTGTATTTTCAAACCATTTGGATGGTATTGATTTCAAGGACGTATTACAAAGGCTCAGTTCTCTCAAATTTATAAGATCCTTAAATGCATGTTGATGGATTTTAAGGGATGACTGCCCAGCACATGGTTCACATGGGTAAGCAGCATTATAGCACCTTGGACAATTGCCACTCAAATATAGGACTGTTAAATTCACCAAATTCTTAAAATCGTGTCGGCTAATTACTTGAATTTTGTTGTTGTTTAAATAAAGCACTTCCAATGACAATGGCAGCTTGGAGGGAACTTTGGTTAAATTATTAGAGTTGAGATGCAGTACAGTTAATTGTTGGAGCCCAGCAAATGCTCCATCTTGGATCTCGAAAGATTTGTTGCACTTGTTACCATAGTAACAATTGTTTCCAAGGTATAATTCTTCTAGCTGTGTTAGCCTAAAAAAACTTTCATTGCTAATCGAAAATATATTATTTTCCTGAAGACTCAATATCTTTAAAGAACTAGGGATCCCTGTTGGTATTTTACACAGATAATTATGATCAATATATAGCTCTTTAAGTTTTAGTAGGCCAGAAAATGTGTCTTCTTTAATCTCTAGCCCTTGTTTGCATATATCCCAGTTACTGGTTTTAGTCTTTGGATAATGATTCTGATTTATGTCAATTTTTGTGAGATTATACCAGTTTGCAAACAATTGTCCATATATTGTATCTATGAGATTGTTTGATAGAAGTAGCTCAGTAAAGTCTGCCGAGAACTTGATGGGCTGTGGCACATTCTTTAACCACCGTGCACGACAATCGAAAACAACTATTGATCCATTTTCATTAATATCACAGGGAAAGGTCCTGTTTGGATTCACATTAGGCATGCCAAGAAAACAGCAAACTGTATGTAGAATCGACAGAGCAATAAACAATTGCCTGAACATGATCTCCTGAAAAAAAACATCAACAGATAAAAAAAAAAGAATAAGAAAATTTCAAACAAACAAATGAATTGCAAACAAAATCAATTCTATCACCTGGAAAGTCTGGATGCTCTGAAATTCTTACCTATAAAAGTATATACCTACAAGTGAGCATTAATCCAAACATTTGAATGATTGTCCCATTGTCACTAGAACTTAATATATCATGTTAAGCATATATATTCAGGCAGCTCGAGATTGACAGGCTTCTCAGGACAGGTGAGTGCAGATGTTAGCATTATTGCTCAAATTAAGGGATTGTAGCTTTTTGAACCCCTTAACTTGCAACCCCTTTTTGTTTGAAAAACATATTAGCATACGTGTAATGAAAACTTTTAATGAGTCACTAGCACCCAAACATATTAAAAAAACATAAATTTTGTGTATAAATTGCTTTCAGACAAACTTTGAAGTTATAATTAAATAAACATAAAATGTAGCCCATACATATGAATTATCTGGAAATACTTGCTTATTTCCAGATATTTCACTGTATGGGCTACATTTTACCATATATAGATTTTGAATGAAACTTGGTCAATTAGAATTTTTTAAGACCGTTCTTTCTTCATTATGTCTTATTATCTACTTGTCTGATACTTACCTACTTGGGTTTGTACTAAGGGGGAATTGCCACTCCTTATTTGGCAATGTGCCTTCAAATTTGGAGCCAGTATTTTATGGGCTCCAGGTATAGGTGAGAAAAACCATTTCACTTGTGTATAATTCCAATACTATCTCAGATATATTTCCACTATTCCTTTTGTGTTTTCTCTCTTCTTTTATGAAATTTATTGGAGGATTGGGATTCACAGAAGAGGTGCAGTTGCCTCTAGAAGGGCACACATACGTGTACATTCAGAGCCATATCGTACAAAAGGCTCAAAACATTGTGAGCATAAATCAACCATATGTTCATATACTATATGTTAGTGTTTACTCTGTTGTACTATTGTGTTTTTTTTCTCTATCTCTCTCATTTATTTTTTTTTAGATTCTTTATTTTTGTGTGACCAATAGAATATTTGGTGATTAGAGCAAAATTAAAAGTTTGCAATACTTTCATAATACATAATATCCAACAATGGCATTAGTTGTACATAATATACATGTAACCAAAGCTCTGAGCCCGAGGGCTCCCAATTTCTACCATTTTGAGTTATATAATATTTGAAATGCAAATTAACACAAACGTTAGCGTATTAAAATGAATACTTGCCATGACTAATGTTGACAAAATGTATCAATCGTAACAATGTAGCTAACTGTTGCTCTGGTCTGTAATTTTTTGTCTCTTTTTATATATATATGGGAACACCTCAAGTCCATATATAGGGGTACATTCAATATATTGTAACTTTTGCACTCGCACTTTCATGTTTTTGGTGTGGTGGTACATCAGCTATAAATTGCAGTATCAGTTCATATATATAAGTTAGTGGGTTATCTCTGGGAATTCCCACAGAGTGTCACAGCTGATGATTTTTCATCAAGTCACAATAATAAGTAAAAAGTGCATATTATTTAAACACTTATTGTATATATATATTTTTTTCAGTTATCTGTTAATCCTTTATAGAAAAAGGGCTGATATGTTGGTATTAAAATAAAAATAAAAATCAATAATTCTTACATACAGGTGTGACAAAAATTGATACATATATGGTAAAATAGCCTGCTTATAGCTAATTCTAAGGACCCTGATGGGATTACTAGCAGCACTGTTTACTGAAAATGGCAAAGGAATATAAACAGAATGTCAGTATATCAGCATAATGACCACATACAGTAAGTAAAGCAATATTTCTAAAATAAATATTGCTATAGTACTTTTAAAAATACTTTAAAAAACTTTTATCACTCTCTGTATGCTGATGGACTGCTAACATGGAAATGGGAGAGCTCATTCACTCCTCCCCCAGACTGTAAGGAATTGTGGCATCCAATGAAACTTGTTTTACTTTCTGTGAGGAGGCAAGAGCTGTCATTTTCAGCACATTTGCAGATATTAAATGTGTGGAATGAGTTCTTGACAAAGATATTTGTTTTTCTACAAGCTGGTAAACATTTCTAGAGTATAAATGAATGAGAGCAAGACTTTAAATTTTGATTTGAAAGTAAATGAAAGTAAAAACATGTATACACAATATTGGGAGTGAAGACGTTAATTAGCTATGCAAACATAAGAAGGCATAAGGGTAAATTGTGCAAGGGTAATGTATTCCCTAACAAATAACTGTAATATTTCTAAAATAACATTTCTCTGTTTAAATGTAAATGCATCTGTAAAGGCCTTGTATCATGTCAGCATGCATATTAAAACAACCAAACAAGCAGATATGTGTAATTATATATTTTTTATCCATATGTAAGAAAGTGGTTCTTGTAGAATATATTTGGTGTGTTAATTAGCTTGTTCTTCGGTGTTTTCTACATTTATTTATAAATAATTATCACTACGTTTTTTTTTTCTCCATTAATGGAGAATTTAGTGAATAACCGCGACAATCATATTGTCTATCTGCTGGAAATAAGCAGGGCTTGTAAACCAGATAAAATTAGTGAAGACATATCCCAAAAAGAGGGCTGTGCTATATTGCAAAAGGGGCAAAGTTAAACCTCTATATTGTAAGCTCAGTTGAGTAGGGCCCTCATCAACCTATTGTTCCTATAACATTTTGTAATTTTAATTCTTCCCCTTTATAATATTGTAAAGCGCTGCAGAATAAATCGGCGCTGTATAAATGCCAATAATAATAATAATAATAATAGTGGGAGCAGTTTGCTAAAAATAGACCACATTGGAGCCTCCTCTTTGTAAAATAATATCTATAGACGAAGCTGCAGGGAAAAGTCCTTCCCTTTATCTTTATCTATATCTTTTCCACATATATTCTTACTTAACATAAAATACCCGATTGAGGTGCTGCAAAAAAGCCTTATGAGGTTTAGACAAAAAATATTTTTTCTCGACATATATTTATTTTTCTAAAGAATCCTTGTTCAGTATGCTGCATGATTTCGACTACATTGTATCACCATTGTATTAATGAAAATATATGTAAAGTATCCTTATGTACCAACCTGTCAGTCAAAAAGAAAGAATTGAAAAAAAAAGTACAAATATTGTATGTTGAATGTGAGCAATAGAAACTTGGTTGAACAGAGAAATCACTCCAACTGGAGGAAATTAAATGAGTTACATTATGAATAGCTTAAGCAGAAGTGTTTTACTCTTGACAATACTTACTAACTAAACAGGAAATACTGCTACTACCTCTTACACGCACAGGATTCTGTCAAACTCGGTTACGTTATGTAATGATGTTTACATATTAGCATTTTTTGCTGTTTGCATTACTTTTCAATGCAAATACTATTTCAAATCTAAAATTACAATCTCTAGATGGCACTAATTAATAAAACACGTGAAAAGTGTGAAAGTTGTGGTATTTAAAGACCATTCTATAATTTAGCAAGATATTTATATTGTTGTGCTCACTGATCTCAGAGAAATGTATTCAATAGTCTGTACATCTTAATGTATTATCATATTCTTAAAGCAAACAGCAAGGTTTCATAATTCTCTTCTTTATATGTATACTAAAAGTAAGGTAAGTACCGGTATATCTTTCTATATTGTCCTTATACCCTTCACCAAAATCATTTGTGTGTGATTAACAAGGGGCACTGCCATTTCCGTATTGTTTGTGCACAATTTGGACAAATACAAATTAAATTGATTTATTGATGATACATATAAATGGAAAGTTGTGCCGTACTGAGAGTGAGCATTCTCTGCCAGGGCTCTTCACTTTGTCTATGAATGCTGTGCATGCTAACAGATTGAGCAGGTATGTGGTTCTTTTATATATATACCTGTCCTCTCCACACATCACTCAACAGTAAACTTATAGGGGAAATTTCATCAAAGTGTTGCTGACATATTTACATTTATTTCAATTTTTTTGTCAAAGATTCTGAGCATATTATTAAAGGAAAAATATAACATAAGAAATACAAAAATATTTTACTAACATTAGAGTTATTTCTATCTAACTATTTAGAGGTAGCTAGATTTAACTATGTAGATGTTAATAGGGTAAACATGGGATGGGCGGCAGCATTATTACAGTGCTATTACAGTGCTGCCGCCCACCCCATGCACTTCCTATTAAGGGTTAATAAATGTGTAGGGGTTCAGAAAAATACCCCTTTCTGTTTCATTTAAGATTGCGCCTTTCAGCTTAAAGCAGCAATGTGAATTGTTAGTGTAGGACTCATCTAAGAGGTTTGCCTTAATGAGGCAGGTGAGTTTACACTTTAATGGCCATTTAAATGATTCTAAAAGCCTCCAGTTATTTAAATGTGCACAGGTATTTGGGATAGTATGCAAGTAATTTTTTTTAGTTTTTTGTTCTATGCATTTGGGATAATTTATATTGTAGCCCTTGCTGCCGCCCAGAGTAGTGGGAGTTTAAGAGCATGGCTAAATTTTGTGTGTTTACAATTACACAATTATTTACCATTTTATATACAAAATCCAGCAAGAAAAGTACTGCCATAATTAAGCATATTACTATTTAACTTTAATTTCTAATTTATGTGCAGCTAAATCCATTGTGTAATTTAGAGAAAAGTTAGAAATAGTCCCTCCCTAGGGACTATGAATTGTGTCCTGATCATATCCAAGCAGGGGATAACCCTCAATATAGACTAACAAAATAAAATAAAATGTGATCCTAGGGCAAAAAAGTCCAGGATACACGGATAGGATAAATCTGAGTGAAATTGTAACTGATAAAAACCGTAATTTATTAAGGACTATTACAAAAACTAATAAAAAATCACTAACGCAAAAGAAATACACTCGGGAAGGAAGAAGCTCTACAGGCTGAATAAAGAGGTAATGATGTCAAAATAGCTATATGGCATACAAGACAACGCTAAGTTGGCACTGAATACTCATACTTAAGAATCACTATGTATAAAGTTATACAGCTGATATAACTTCTAGCTGTATAGAGCCATCTAACAGCTAAAGACCAAAAGCCAAGTAGCTAGGTCCTGGTAGATTAATCAGCATATCAATCTTAGCAACTAGTATAAAGTGCTAATACGCACTTGTGTCTATATATGTAGCTAACCCTATAATTAGGAAACTAATGAATGTTGCCTGCTCAGGAAACCGATTTCTATCTAAATGCCGCTTAACTCTGGCTAAAAAACCCCATAAATAAAATAATCACCCCAAACATAGTGAAAAAAGTGAAAAGAAAAGTGCAGTGAATTTAAACATTTCTTTTGCGTTAGTGATTTTTTATTAGTTTTTGTAATAGTCCTTAATAAATTACGTTTTTTATCAGTTACAATTTCACTCTGATTTATCCTATCCGTGTATCCTGGACTTTTTTGTCCTAGGATCACATTTTCTTTTCTTTCATTGTGCAATTTAGAAACATTGGGGAAAAAAAACCTTATTCGATGATTTATTCACTACTGGTTTATTACTAGTTTCACGTATGTATTTGCCATACTTCAAAACTTTTTTGTTTAGTTTTTTTAGCTATGTAATAAATATACATGAAAAAACTGTCATCACAGATGTAGAGGCACAATATATACCATAATAAAATATACAATAAAAATAAACACTTTTTACAATTTTGTTTATAGTATTAAGGAAGCTAGTGTTATATGAATAAATAAATTAAGGTGGTAATATTACAAATCAATTTAATTAAAGGACCACTGTAGTGCCAGGAAAACATACTCACTTTCCTGGCACTATAGTGACCTGAAGGTGCCCCCACCCTCAGGGTCCCCCTCCCGCCAGGCTCTGGGGAGAGGAAAAGGGTAAAACTTACCTTTTTTCTCGCACCGGGCGGGGAGCTCTCCTCCCCTTCAGCTGAATGCGCACGTGCGGCAAGAGCTGCGCGAATTCAGCCGGTCTCATAGGAAAGCATTCATAATGCTTTCCTATGGACGCTTGCGTGTTCTCACTGTGATTTTCACAGTGAGAATCACGCAAGCGCCTCTAGCGGCTGTCAATGAGACAGCCACTAGAGGAGTTGGAGGCTGGATTAACCCTATTATAAACATAGCAGTTTCTCTGAAACTGCTATGGTTATTAAAAAAAGGGTTAATCCTAGAGGGACCTGGCACCCAGACCACTTCATTAAGCTGAAGTGCTCTGGGTGCCTAGAGTGGTCCTTTAATGTAAATGAGAAAAAGTACATTGCTGAATTTTTATGAAGTTTCAACAAATGAGTGCAAATGTTATTTTGTAGAGTCATGTGTCTTACCGGCTTGATCATTTTTAATCGGATGAGGGATGTAAAGTTACATTTATCAGGTAACATGGTTGTTATTTTATGGATTACTTTAGTCAGTTTGTTAAATTAAATTTGCACTGTTTTCCCAGAGAGGATCCTTGCTAGAAAACATATTTTATTATATCACAGTGTAAATAATAATACATACCCAAATCTGCTTACCAGAAGTGCAGAATTTCTGTAGATTCTTTTGGAGAAGAGTTTGCCAATGTTTCGCACCACAGTCAGCAATTGTGAATCAGTACGGGCTTCTACTATGACCAGAAAAAATAAAACCTCTCCGCTTTCTAGTTGGAAGCCTTATACTACATCAGAATGTCCGCAGTGACATGAAAAATTCACAGGAAGCAGTTAGAAAAAAAGGGAAGTTTGATAAAACTTTGATAATAAAAGCACAACAGGAGTTTATTATCAGCTTTGTGACATTTATATATATATATAACAAATGAATGTGTACTTTCCAATACATGCATTACCTCTGTTGTCATAAATGGTATGGCAGTTGCAAATACAACATTTGATTATCCTATTTAAACAAAAAAAATCTGGGAACAAATGATCTTGTAGAAAAATCAAAGTGTATTTAAAGCCAGGAAAAATTTGAATGTGCTTGTCGACCCCGACGGAGTAGGACCCAGGGCCAATCCTGGGCTGGTGCAAGGGTTGCACTGCACCCAGGCGCCAGGAGGAGGGGGGGCACGGCAGGTGGCCAACTGCCCACTTAAGGTCGTCCCTGGAGCAGCGCTTATCCCAAAGGGCAGGTGGCTACTCTGCAGCAACATACGGGGCCGGGTGAGGAAGGGGGTAGGAAGCAGTGAGAGTGCGCTGTCTGAACTGATGATCTTCCTGCTCCTCTCTGCTCCCTTGCGCAACCTCTGTGGTGATGCCGGGAGCCGGAATATGATGTCATTCTGGCCTCACATCACTAAGCAGTGCATGGGAGCAGAGAGGAGCAGGAAGAGCATTGAAGCCACAGGACCCTAGGGAGAGGACCCAGGGAACTCCTAAAGGTAGGAGCAACCAACAAGTAATAAAATTAATTTATGAGTGTGTGTGCAAGACTGTGTAAGTGTGTATGTGTCTGTCAGTAAGTGTGTGTGTGTCTGTCAGTGAGTGTGTGTGTCTGTTAGGGAGGGTGTGTGTCTGTCAGTAAGTGCGTGTCTGTCAGTCAGTAAGTGTGTGCCTGTCAGTGAGTGTGCGTGTGTCTGTGAGTGTGTGTTTGTGTGTCTGTCAGCAAGTGTGTCTGTCAGTAAGTGTGTGTCTGTCAGTGTGACTTTCAGTGTGTGTCTGTCCGTCAGTGTGTGTGAGTGTATGTGTCTGTCAATTAGTGTGTCTGTCATTGAGTGTGTATCTATCAGTGTTTGTGTGTGTCAGCGAGTGCATCTGTCAGTGTTTGTTTGTGTGTCAGCGAGTGTATCTGTCTGTAAGTGTGTATCTGTCAGTGTGTGTTTGTTTGTCAGTAAGTGTATCTGTCAGCAGGGCCAGTGCTTCTGATAGGCGACTTAGGCAGTCGCCTAAGGCACCCCTTAAGAAGAGGCGCTGCCCCCACTCATACTGCAGCCGCCTGAGCGCTCTATAGAGAGCCTCAAGTGGCTGCAGCACTGCCTGGGCCATACAGGAGCATTTGTTTCCGGTACCTGGTCAGACTGACAGGAAACAGAAAATCCTGTACCACGGACCGAACCAGAGCTCGGCCACGCTACACAGGGTAGGAGAGGGGGGGTGAGAAGAACGGGGGGGACAGACCACTGAGGGAGGGTGGCTGCAGGAGAGACCTAAGGGATGGGGGAAGCACCAAGGGACTGGGGAAGGGTAGAAGAGATCACTAAGGGACAGGGGAGATCACTAAGGGACAGTGGGGCAGGGGAGAGCTCTAATGGACAGGAGGGGAGAGCAGTAAGGGACAAGAGGGGAGAGAGGCTGAGACATGGGGAAAGAGAAGCACAAAGGGGCTGGTAGGACTCAGCCCCTATCCTACCCCACAAACTCTCTCTCTCTTTCATGCTACACACACAATGCTTCCCTATACATACACAGAAACATATAATGCATCTCTACACACACAGAAACACAAACCTACACTGCTTCTATTACACACACACAGAAACACAATGTATTTCTTACACACACACTCAATGCACCCCTTGCAGACACACACACTACATCCCTTACATACACAGAAATACACCTTGCATCCTTTACACATACAAATACAGATTCACACAATGCATCACTTAAACACAACCAGAAACACACAATACATCCCTTACACACAAACACACACTGCTTTCTAATCCCTTACACAAAAACACACTGCATCCACTACACACACTGCACCACCTACACAAACTAGTATCCCTATACATTCCATTCCATAAGCACACACTTTAGATCCCCTATACACTCCACTCCCTGTGAGCAAACCTATGGGTGGAACATGTAGGTGGATCGGCCTTATGGGCATACTCAACGTCAGGCCCTGGGGACCAAGACCTTGAGCTGTGCAAGGGGCCCAAAAAAATGGAGCTGCTTTGTGCCCACCCAAAACATTGACTTTTGTGACAACAGTTACAAACATTCGCCAGAGAGCCTGTTCTACACCAGACCAGTGTAGCCAGACTGCAGCCGGAGCCCCTCATCATCCTCATTTGGTTGTAAGTAGGCAATCTAGTATATTATTTGTGGCACTAATCTCTAATTCACCTCACATTAAAGGGACACTACAGTCCCCAGAACTACTGCAGCTTAATGTTGTGGTTCTGGTGTCTAGAGCCTGTCTCTGCAGGCTTTTTAATGTAAACACACACTGTGTGCAGCACTGACGTTAGTTCATATAGCAGATCATATGGGTGGGGCATTGTGATGTCACATAAGGGGGGGGCGCAATTTCTTCTTTTGCCTAGGGTGGAAAAAATACTTGCACCGGCTCTGTCTGTCAGTGAGTGTGTGTGTGTGTGTGTGTCAGTAAGTGTGACTGTCAGTGTGTGTGTGTCTGTCAGTAAGTGTGTCTGTCATTTAATGTGTGTCAATGTTTGTGTATGTGTCAGCGAGTGTGTCTGTCAAGTAAGTGGTTGTCTGTCAGTGAATGTGTGTGTCTGTCAATGTGTGTCTGTCTGTCAGTGAGTGTTGTCAATGAATGTGTGTATCTGTTAGTGTGTGTGTCTGCCTGTCAGTGAGTGTGTGTCTGTCAGGGTTTGTGTGTGTGTGTCATTGATAGTGAGTGGCAGTGTGTTTGTCAGCAGGGCCAGCCTTTGGGGTGTGCAGGCTGTGCAGTCACACAGGGTGTCATGACAACAGAGATGCCCAGTGACCAACACAGCTCACAAATTGGGAAAACTAGCATATTAAATTGAAACGATTCCATGCTGGTCCACTGGTGCACACCAGAAGCAGGTGCAGTCAGATTATATCCTCTCCCTTGTGGTTCCAGTGCTCAGTTAGTGAGTAAGAGCACAAGCTCAGAGATTCTTAGCCTGCGCTCTGACAACATTGAAAGCTGGAGCTGCAAAGGAGTGGATATTATGATCTGAAACAAGAGGATGTGCGCATCCTGCTATTCACCACCGGACTGCCAGGGCACTGATATAAGATACCACTTGACCACCAGGGTCAATTGAGGGTGCATTTGTGACCAAGCATTTTAATAAGGGTGTCGCTGCAGGGAAGAGTATCGCAGCTTGGAACATGGTAGGTCTCAGGAGAGTGAGTGGCTGCTTTAGAATGCAGCCTTAGAAACCTCCCAACCCTAGAAACTCCTCTACAGGGAGTGCAGAATTATTAGGCAAGTTGTATTTTTGAGGATTAATTTTATTATTGAACAACAACCATGTTCTCAATGAACCCAAAAAACTCATTAATATCAAAGCTGAATATTTTTGGAAGTAGTTTTTAGTTTGTTTTTAGTTATAGCTATGTTAGGGGGATATCTGTGTGTGCAGGTGACTATTACTGTGCATAATTATTAGGCAACTTAACAAAAAACAAATATATACCCATTTCAATTATTTATTATTACCAGTGAAACCAATATAACATCTCAACATTCACAAATATACATTTCTGACATTCAAAAACAAAACAAAAACAAATCAGTGACCAACATAGCCACCTTTCTTTGCAAGGACACTCAAAAGCCTGCCATCCATGGTTTCTGTCAGTGTTTTGATCTGTTCACCATCAACATTGCGTGCAGCAGCAACCACAGCCTCCCAGACACTGTTCAGAGAGGTGTACTGTTTTCCCTCCTTGTAAATCTCACATTTGATGATGGACCACAGGTTTTCAATGGGGTTCAGATCAGGTGAACAAGGAGGCCATGTCATTAGATTTTCTTCTTTTATACCCTTTCTTGCCAGCCACGCTGTGGAGTACTTGGACGCGTGTGATGGAGCATTGTCCTGCATGAAAATCATGTTTTTCTTGAAGGATGCAGACTTCTTCCTGTACCACTGCTTGAAGAAGGTGTCTTCCAGGAACTGGCAGTAGGACTGGGAGTTGAGCTTGACTCCATCCTCAACCCGAAAAGGCCCCACAAGCTCATCTTTGATGATACCAGCCCAAACCAGTACTCCACCTCCACCTTGCTGGCGTCTGAGTCGGACTGGAGCTCTCTGCCCTTTACCAATCCAGCCACGGGCCCATCCATCTGGCCCATCAAGACTCACTCTCATTTCATCAGTCCATAAAACCTTAGAAAAATCAGTCTTGAGATATTTCTTGGCCCAGTCTTGATGTTTCAGCTTGTGTGTCTTGTTCAGTGGTGGTCGTCTTTCAGCCTTTCTTACCTTGGCCATGTCTCTGAGTATTGCACACCTTGTGCTTTTGGGCACTCCAGTGATGTTGCAGCTCTGAAATATGGACAAACTGGTGGCAAGTGGCATCGTGGCAGCTGCACGCTTGACTTTTCTCAGTTCATGGGCAGTTATTTTGCGCCTTGGTTTTTCCACACGCTTCTTGCGACCCTGTTGACTATTTTGAATGAAACGCTTGATTGTTCGATGATCACGCTTCAGAAGCTTTGCAATTTTAAGAGTGCTGCATCCCTCTGCAAGATATCTCACTATTTTTGACTTTTCTGAGCCTGTCAAGTCCTTCTTTTGACCCATTTTGCCAAAGGAAAGGAAGTTGCCTAATAATTATGCACACCTGATATAGGGTGTTGATGTCATTAGACCACACCCCTTCTCATTACAGAGATGCACATCACCTAATATGCTTAATTGGTAGTAGGCTTTCGAGCCTATACAGCTTGGAGTAAGACAACATGCATAAAGAGGATGATGTGGTCAAAATACTAATTTGCCTAATAATTCTGCACTCCTTGTAGTATGTGGCTGGTAAAGGAGCTGCTGAGTGTAGGTGGTGTTACATCAGCAATACTCTGCTGAGTGTAACTACCTACCCTGTCACATAACACACCTAAACACCAATAATTGTGATGGTGTGTGTTAATTCATGTCTGACAAGGTTATTCACTAAAACAATTATCAGGAATGCCTGCCTCCCCATCACTAGACACTAGGGTCCTTGGCCTCCTCTCCTCCTCCCAGTGCTGGCCCTGTCTGTCAGTGTGTGTGTGTCTGCCAGTGAGGGTTTTTAAATCAGTGAGTGTGTGTTAAATCAGTGAGAGTGTGACTGTCGGTGCGTGTGTCTAGATGGAGAGGTGGAGTCATTGCAAAGAGGAGGGGTTAGTAAGATGACCATGCCCACTAACCCTTTTGTGTAGTGTTCCCGATATGCAGTGCTTAGCACCTAGCAAAAGTGGTGCAAGGTAGGACAACTGATGAACCTGCGTCAAGGTCATGGTCATCCAAGACTCACTGATGCACATGGGAAGTGAAGGCTAGCCCATCTGGTCCGATCACACACAAGAGTTTTTCAGCTCAAATTGCTGAAAAAATTAATGATGGCCATGTTAAAAAGGTGTCAGAATACACAGTGCATTGCAGTTTACTGTGTATGGGGCTCCATAGCAGCAAAGCAGTCAGAGTGCCCATGATGACCCCTGATAGTGCCTTCAATGGAAATGGGAACATCAGAACTGGAACATAAAGAAGGTTGCCTGGTCTGATGAATCACCTTTTGTTTTAGATAAGATGGATGGGTGCGTGTGCATCGTTTAACTAGGGAAGAGATGGCAGCAGGATGCACTATGGGAAGAAGGCTGGCCACGTGAGAAATGTTCTGCTGGGAAACATTGGGTCCTGACATTCACCAACTCCAACAGTGGTGTCCCCTGATGGCAGTGACTCCTTTCAGCAGGATAACGCACCCTGCCCCACTGCAAATATTGTTCAGGAATGATTTCAGGAACATGGCAAAAGGTTAAAGGTGTTGTTTTGGCCTCCAAATTCCCCTGATCTCACAGAACACATTCAGAGAACTTGTGGAGTCCATGCCTTGATGCATCAGAGCTGTTTAAAAAATCAATAAGATCTGTAGAGACTAACTAAATCTCAATATATGAGAAATAGATTAAAGAAAAAAGATCTTTATTATTTTTAAAAAATGGGTTAAATGATGCTTAAAAATATATTGTAAGAATAGCATGGACCTAATCATTAAAAATAAATTAAAAATATCTTCATTAACCCCTTAAGGACAGAGGTAATTGTACAAGTTCTGATCAAACAAAACCTGGAATTTTAGCTATATGTATGTTCAACCATAATTTTCTTCTTTTACATTGAGTATACCCAAACTTATTATATATCATTTTATTCAGGAGAAATAAGTCTTTAATTTCACATAAAAAAATAAAAGTGCTAGTGCTAAGATAAATACTCCCCATCTGCACTAGACTCTCTTAGGCATCGCTCTGTTCCGAGTGACATCACTTCCGGGTAACCTGTCAGTAAGCCGGTCACTACACGGAGGTACTGCAGCCGCTCCAAGAGTGTATGCAGGTTAACCTCTCACGGCATGGCAGGACGTTCTGCTACCCTACTCATCCTAACAACTGGCAAGGGACAGGGGGGGTTAATCCTTGCTACGGACACAGCCACAGTGGGTAACCGCATCTCCCGGGGGTTTTCAGTATACGTGCCGCTTAGGTACAGCCCCCCTCCTCCTTACCCTGCACTCTAAGCACAGGCTGTTTCAGTGAAGTTAGCACAGTTGATGCCACTTTTGACACTTCCCTGCTTATCAGGTTCAAACCTGTGTTTCTCTGATTTGTTATTACTTAAGCTGGTTCAGCTTCATACTTTGTTCAAACAGCTCAGCATACCGCCACCTTGTGGCCTGTTAGATAATTACGGATAAACTTGTTATTGATTTTTAGGCTTTAACCCCTTAAGGACCAAACTTCTGGAATAAAAGGGAATCATGACATGTCACACATGTTATGTGTCCTTAAGGGGTTAAAGAGAGGATAAGTGCACATGTGATTAATTTCCGAATATAGGTGATACTGGTTCCCTCACTATGATCAATTACGAGGTTGGTCATAAGCATATGTTTACCCTGCTTTTCATTTCATCACTCCATACTCTATAGGGTAGCAATTCGTAAATCAATTGCGTTATCAAAGCCCAAGTCTTCCTTCCTAGTATTGGTACGTGCATTAACAACTCCACATGATTAATTCTAATCAGTATTGTTCAGGTTATTTATTATTGGTATATTAATAGGACCACACCTCCTTCCTCTTTCCTCTGGTATTCAAACTTACGGTGGTTACATTATATAGCAAGAAACAATAAGGCATAAACATTTAAATTTGACACTTGTAGTATATCAGACCACATATACCATTGGTATATACACGGACAGGTATCACTACTGACTCTAACCACTTGATGTTCTAGACTTTAGCATGGCATCTTTTCACTATACAGACTTGCATGCAAATGGTTCATAGTATCTCTCGTTATTATTTTTAGACTCTTGAGGGTGTCACAGTGACACGGCCACATAGCTGCTATCAGTGGCGTACACACAACCCATGGGGCCCCGGTGCAAAACTGATCCATAGACCCCCCTTCTTCCCCCCCTTAACCCCTGCCCGACACACACACACACACACATGCATACAGAGACACACACACACACAGACAGACACATACAGACACATACACACACAACACATACATACAAAGACATATACATACAGACAGGCACACATACATACAGACATACACACATAGAGACAGACACACACACAAGACACAGATACATACAAAGACACATACATACATAAAAACAGATAGACATAGACACATACATACAGACAGAGACATAGAGACAGACACAGACACATACATACAGACAGACAGACAGACAGACACATACACACACAAAGACACACATACATATAAAGACACATAAATGCATACAAACAGACAGGCACACATACATAGACACACACACGTATAATATTTAAGTCACCCTCCTGTGTCCTACCTTTTAAGTGCAGTAGGATGACTTTCCCTGGGGTCCAGTGGTGGCACAGGCTGGTGGAAGTCAGAGTTCAGTGAAAAATTGTGACATGCCCCAGAGTGACAAAAAGAACCGCCCAACACGAAGAGGGCGGAATAACTGGAAGAAATTCAAATCGTACTGGGAGGCCTCCCAGAATGAGGAAATGATAACTGTCTTCAATTTATCCCATAAAGTTTTAAACAATGACCACTATTCCCTACTAAATAAAGAGTTATCATTCGTTCCAGTTTCGAGACCTGACCCTTTCCAAATGGAAATTGAAATGTATAAGACACAGCGTACTTTGTACAGCAATGAAATTAGGAAGGATAACATACAGACATCACCACATCCATTCTTTAAGAAGTATGACAAAGATATCCGAACACCTAACCCCTCCATCAAAACCTTTATCCAAGCAGTCAAAGCTGACACAGAGAAAATGATGCTAAATCATCCCAAACATTATCCTAACTTAACTAAAGGAGAAAAAATGGCCTTAAAGGATCTTAGCCAACCCTTACACCAAACTCGCATTCGATCCCGTGAAGAAGTTCCAGACAAGAATCAAAAACCATATTGAGATGGGAATCAGAAATGAAAATTTTGATGAAAAAACAGCACAATTCCTATTTGTTGAATGTCCTAAACATCCAGTGCTCTACACGTTACCTAAAATCCACAAGGATCCCAAAACCCCACCAGGCAGGCCTATAGTGTCAGCCAAGGAGGGCTTACTGGAACCCATCACGAAATACATCGACTATCATATTAAAAACAGTGTAATGGCACTCCCCACTTGTCTATGAGACACACAGGACTTCATCCATAAGATCAACCGAGCACTTTTGATAGAAGACACCTCTCAGTTGGTCACCATCGATGTCAAGAGCCTGTACACGGTCATACCCGATCAGGGCGGTGTGCAGGCTCTGTGAGAAGTCGTCAGATTTTCTCCATTATATACAGGACCGTCTATAGAATTTCTGTTGGTATTTCTTTACATTGCTCTATCTTGCAAAATACTTTAAATTTGAGAACAATTCTTTTCTTCAACTCTCCAGGACAGCCATGGGAGCGGCGATGACACCATCTTATGCCAATGCCTTTATGTTCGTCTTCGAAATCCAGCAGATCCTAAATCAGATTTGGTAATCGGATCAGACATCACCATCATTTTGTAGACCACATATTTCTGATTTGCAAAAAGAGAAAAACATAGGGCAATATTGCCGTAGCTAAAACAATATAAAAATGGGTAGAATGCACACTCACAAACCCAAATTTGATTGAAGGCGTATTAAATAATATGTAGAGTATCCTCATTTCCAGATTGCAGCATGTGGGAGAGAGGAATTTAAAAAATAATAGTGCAGAGTTTCTAAAAACAGTATAAATCTTTAATAAATATTGCACTTACAAGATAAAGGTATTAGATAAGCACATCACAAAATACCGTCTCAACAGCAGCACATCACAAAATACCATCTCAATAGCATTCAGACGTTATGTACACTGATAAAAAAGTAGAGTAAAAGAAACTCTTAGGAAACAAGCCCTACGCGTTTCGTTCAGAGAACTGAATTTCTTCAGGGAAAAACAATCAAAAACCAGTCTCCCAGTTAAGCAGCTCCACTTTTTTATTATCTTTTATTTTATTTACTATTTTTGATGCTGCTTGAGGTTCCCATCAGTGTACATAACGTCTGAAGGTGTTCCTGTGTGCTGCTATCGAGATGGTATTTTATGATGTGCTGCTATCGAGATGGTATTTTGTGATGTGCTTATCTAATACCTTTATCTTGTAAGTGCAATATTTATTAAAGATTTATACTGTTTTTAGAAACTCTGCACTATTATTTTTTAAATGTCTCTCTCCCATATGCTGCAATCTCAAAATGAGGATACTCTACATATTATTTGATATGCCTTCAATCAAATTTGGGTTTGTGAGTGTGCATTCTACCCATTTTTATATTGTTTTAGCTATGTTTTTCTCTTTTTGCATTGTAGTTACCGGTTCGCGTTTTGCATTGTAGTTACCGGTTATTTGGTACTTTGTATTCTGTGATTGAGGGCTTGGAGGAGTCCTACTCTACGTGCAATACTTTATCAGGGTAAAATCACCCTTTTGCCCTTCTCTACTTTTCCCACTAAGGTGTTTCTGCTCTATGTGGTATATCTGTATATTTCTGATTTGGACTGGCACTACTGATGAACTAGAGCAGATGATATCTGAAATCAACCAAGCTCCCATGATGTACACTCTATACAGTTCCTAGACATGACCATTTTTAAACAACATGGGAAATTAGAGTTCACACTCTATCGGAAAAAGATGGAACGGAATACCCTACTCATGGCCTCAAGTTTCCTCCCATAAAATGTCAACGCTTCTTTACCTATATCCCAATTCCTGAGAGTCTATAGATATAACAGTACTATGTAATATCGTGAAACACAAATCCAGGAAATGTGGATTAGGTTTAGGGCTATAGGCTATCTGGTCCATACTCTCAAAATAGCCAAGACACGAGAAAAAGAAATATGGGAGTCTGAAAAGGAGAAAAAGATTACCAAAGCAATACCGACATCCAAGGTATTCCTCCCTATTACCTTCCACACAGGTACATCGGTGGTCAGAAATTCCATCAATAAACACTGGGGATTGTTACGAGCGGACAAACAACTGCCTAAGACGTTCCAAAACCCACCCACACTTAGTTACAAAAGGAATAAAAACCTCAGAGATATACTCGTGAGAAACGATCCTAGACACTGCTATCAAATACCAACTAAAATTGCCACAAGGGGTGTTTCAAATGTAGTGGGTGTGTAACTTGTAGCCACATGGTCAGTGGAACTACTTTTGCCCACCCCCACAGTGGCAAAAGAATCAACATCTCACAATACATTACATGTACAACTGACCATGTGATCGACATGATTACCTTATGTGGGCAAAACTAACTTGACCCTTAGAGATAGGATACGTGGTCACTGATCTACCATCACTACTGCATTTTGTGACAACGCTAGTGACAAACCAGTTGCAAAACACTTTTTAGACCTGGGACATCGACTACCGACTTTACGTTTTACAGCTATCGACCACATCCCCCCCCACCTAGAAGGGGAGACAGATCCAAAATGCTGCTGCAAAGGGAGGCTCGTTGGATACATCGTTTAGACACCGTGACACCTAGAGGACTGAATGAAAATATTGTTTATTCTATCTTCCTCTGAATACGAGATCCCTGTTCAGGCCAGATCTTTCTACATGTATATAGTGCTATCTCCATTTGTTAATTAATTTTTTTTTTCTATTTTAATTTCATTTCTTTTTTCGAGCCAATATATATGTATGGCTATAAGTTTTTCTGATAACACTTCATCACTGTAATAGTATGCACATGATTTTGCTAGGTGGCTAATGTAAACTCAATGCTGCTTCCATGATTCCCTATTAGTGACATAAGTTCTATGTAACAAATGTAATTTGGAAGAATTGAGAAAATATGTTTTTGTTTCTGTCAGTTTCTATTTGACATAAATATATCTGTCTATAGCATTAGGTTCCTATGCTCCCACTCAAGCCTAAATTATCTATTAAGATATTTAAAAAGTTATGTAAAATAACATATTGTTGGTTTACTAGCCTTCTAGACAATAGTAATTGTGGTACATTTTCTTCCTATGGTATAATAACATTGTTTTTAATTTTTGTATAGATATATAGGCATGTTTGTCACTCTGGGGCATGTCACAATTTTTCACTTATATTTTTGTATATACAGTTGGCACTGATTCTTTCTTCACTATACACAACTCATAGGATGCCTCACACAATACTTGTTCCACAGTGATTTTCACGTTGTATGTAGCATGTTTGTATATACCCTAATAGATAGTCACATAGAGTTTATCATTCACTCTACACGGAACTATTCTAGACCGGTCTTTTGCTGTATACACTGGTTTCCTAGCAACCACGCTCACGTCATCACGCACGTTCAACGTGGTCACATCATCACGCAAATCACATGACGATCGGCAGACACTACCGGGTTTTGATTGAGGTGAGGAGGGTGATTATCACAATTGGTGTGTACACTACACTTTTTCTATATATAGTTTGCTTTTATGGTTACATGTTGATCTTGAGGAAGAACCGAATGGGTCGAAACGTCGGTCATATTATTGTATACCTTTTGATGGATTAAATACTTTTCTACTGTTTGAAAGACCGGAGAGTGCATCCTTTCTTTATACATATTGTGTATATATATATATATATATATATATATGAATATATATATATATATATATATTATATATATATAATTTATATGAATATAATATAGAAAAGTGTGAGAAATGAATGTTTTATTTATTTTTCAAGTTAGACAGGAAAGGCAGAGACAGGAAAGGCTGATGATTTATCACAAAATTGAACCAAGTGCATAATGTACCGGTAAGTGAACATACAAATAATGAAAGTGCCCAATGCACATTTTGGTGCACACAGAGATGCACCTTTATCAGGCTAATTTTTCAGGGAGAGAGGGATTATTTCCTTTTTCTATACTTCACCTGTTTCTGTCCCTATTTATTTTATAGTAACTTTTGGATTTATGATGTATATAGTAGGAGGTGGAATTTAATGTACATTTTACTGGTCCAGAGTTACCATTGCCAGTTATTACTTTCTGTAGGGCATGAAATACCGCCTAGTATATGTGCTTAAAACTTGATTTCGCATATTTTTTTTCTTACAGCTTAACAATTTTATTTTTATATTGCATGATTCACTGTTTGGTACAGATGCCCTATATATGACTAGGTATGGCTCCCTCCTATAGAGTTTGAATCTACCTACTCTTATTTACCCTCTCCCTTGTTATTTAGAACTTGATTTCTTAATTCATAGTAACAACTCTAGACAGGATTGAAACTTTATTGAGACAGCTTAGGTGCATTCCTTACAGAATCTATATTTAGTATCTCTATGGTGCCGCATTACATTTAGGAATTCTTAAGACATATGAAGGGATCTTCTGTCCCTAATCAGTAATTTGATTTTCTTTTTATTACTCTTGTGCATTGCCACATGTAAACCTTTGCCCCTCTATGTCCTCTTGTTGTGGTAGTTTTTCTTCTTTTAAATGTAGTATCCTCCTTAACTGTGTTGATTTCCTTTATGTATTTAAATGTTTCTATCATATCCCCCCTGTCTCGTCTTTCCTCCAAGCTATACATGTTAAGCTCCTTTAACCTTTCCTAGTAAGTTTTATCCTGCAATCCATGAACCAGTTTAGTGGCCCTTCTCTGAACTCTCTCTAAAGTATCAATATCCTTCTGAGGATACGGTCTCCAGCAGGGCCGGACTGGGAAGAAAATTCGGCCCAGGCATTTTTTAATTACAGCGGCCCACTCAAAAGGGCGCAGGGCCAGGTAGGGTATGTTTTGACATCACCAATGACAAGCACGCCCCATCACAAAGTGAGTATGTTAGTTCAATGCACTTCCAGGGTAGACCATGCGCAGAGCTCTGCTAAAGAGCTCTGGCATGAGAAAAAGACCCTGTATTTGTTCTGCACAGCACAAGCAAATTTAATAACATGCTTGCACTGTGTTTGCTTGAAATTTGTCTCTGGTGTCTCCATAGTTGGGATACCAGGAGACAAAAATGCTAGGAAAGCATATTGTGCAGTGTGTGTTTGTGTGTGTGTGTGTGGGTGCTGTGTTTACGTGAGGGTGCTATATGCATGTGAGAAAGCTGTGTGTGAGGGTACAGTGTGTGCGTGTGAGGAAGCTGTGAGTGTCAGGGGTGCAGTGTGTGTGGGAAGGTGCTGTGAGTGTCAGGGGTGCAGTGTGTTTCTGTGAGTGAGGGTGCTGTGAGTGTTAGGGGTGCAGTGTGTGTGAGTGTGTGAGTGAGGGTGATGTGAGTGTCAGGGGTGCAGTGTGTGTGTTTGTGTGTGCTGTGAGTGTCAGGGGTGCAGTGTTTGTGTCAGTGAGGGTGCTGTGAGTCTCAGGGGTGCTGTGTGTGTGAGTGAGGGTGCTGTGAGTGTCAGGGGTGCAGTGTTTGTGTGAGTGAGGGTGCTGTGAGTGTTAGGGGTTCAGGGTGTCTGTGAGTAAGTGAGGCTGCTGTGACCTGAGTGATTATATCCCCCCTCCCTGCTTACCTTTAGCCTGGCAGGGGGGATCCTGCTGCTGCTGGCATCCATCCCTGATGTTCCTCGCGAGACTCCGAATCTTGCGAGAGGAACCTGGTGGAGCTCCGCCAGGTTCCTCTCCTGGCTGTCTCCCTCCCTCTCTCCCCGCCGGCAGCAGTATACTATATGTGGGCCGGTGCGGGAGATCTTTGATCTCCCCACCGGCCCGCCGTGGACTACGGCAGGGCCGGCGCTCGGATAGTACCGGCCCTGCAAAGACCGGCAGGAAAGATCCTGTGATCTCCCTGCTGGCCTCGGCCCATGGCCACCGTGGCCCACTGGGCGTTTGCCCGGTGTGACCGATGGCCAGTCCGGGTCTGGTCTCCAGTACTGCGTACAATACTCCAAGTGAGGTCTCACCAGTGTTCTGTACAATGGCATAAGCACTTCCCTCTTCCTAGCAGAATATCTTGATGGGTCTTTTGGGTTTTTTACTTTACTTAAATTTTTCTTTATTTATGTTTTATAATATTTTCAGCATTAGTTTACTAGCAGCGTAATGGAAGTGAGTATACTCTCTCTATATTGCTGGTTTGTGGTAAATAGCATACTGCCATAGCCTAACCTGTAACTAACTATTCTAAATGTAATAGTTAATACCATATCACCTGCAGGGACCGATTAACAAAGGGGCTAATAGAGCTAAAGCTCCAGGCACATGCCCACCCAACAAGCCCATTGATTCAAATAAATAGATACATAAATAATACTTTTGCTCTATGATGCTGACAGATGGAAAAGGGTATAGGAACTTAGGAGGGGTTCAAGAGAACATAACTTGTGTACTGGCTGATTATAAAATTGTTAATAAAAAGCCATCTTTGCACAGTTTCTGTCTCTTTAACAGTCAAGCATCTTCCCTTTTTGCTACACTCAGGATACCCACCTCTTTCACTGAAATGCTAATAATGGCGATCGATGGAAAGGAGTGGACAACTGATTGGTAAAGAGAGAGAATTTCAAATGTATGATTAGGGAGAGAGAGGAGCAGAAAGCTGTGAGGCTTATAAGACATGGAGACATGAAGATGAGAAATTATCACGTGTTTTCTTATAAAAGCATCCTGTGAGTTTCCCTCCAGCACCACCCCCACCAGACACAAGACACTTGGGAGGTATTACTGTTTAGTGTTTTATATCGATAATTGGGTCCATCATACTCTCCAGCACCATGTCGAATAGCCTCTTAATACAGCCCTGACCCCTAGCCAAGTGCTACTGGAGTGGCCAACTCAATGTGTCACCTTGAAACGCCATATGCTATGTGGCTGGTGAACTATCGCATTGGATGTTAGTTTGTAGTTAGTTAGAGGAAAATGTGTGTATATAGCCTAGGCAGCATGCTATTGCCACACACAGACAGCTGCCAAGAGTGTACTCACATTCTGTCTGCTGCTAATGTTCTGACAATATAGAAGATAGACAATATAGAAGATAGGAGTTCAGGTAAGTATCAATTTTATCTAAGATGTAATATTTGTGGCATTACACAGGTATTTGCTAAGAGAACAATTAGGTATGGCAGGTGGGCACATTATATGTAGGATCCTAGGAAAGCATAAATCAGACGGTACATAAAGGTTTAGCACATTGTCATGAATATAATCAAATATATGTGTAAGCAAGCAAGAATACAGAGCAACCTGCACAAGTGGGGTTATTCAAAAAATAACAAATTGTGGTGGTGTGGGGGAACACTAATAAACTAAAACTAAAATTGTACTTTGGAATTTAAACCCCAATATGCATGTTGTTCAAAGATGGAGGTTTCTTGGTAGGTGAGCAGGAATAGCCATATGGTGACCTTAGGCATCTGCCTACGGCGCAGAGATTAGAGAGGGTCCCCATTAATTTGCTTGGTCTCACTCACCATTCATATGTGAAGAATGAAAACATATTTATTGCACAACCCATGAGGTTATTAACCCCTAAATATATTCTTAGATTATATACATTGCACAGCATTACTCACTGGTTATGACAAACATATTTATTATGGCTCCCACTTTTTTTCTTTAAAAAGTTTATCATATGCCATTTGATTATCTGATGCTAAAGCTGTTTTCAAGCAGTGCCAAAAGTATTTTTGAGACTTTGGGTTGGATGGCCAATATAAAACTGAGTTTCTACACAAACTTTTCCGCAGGTTGAGATATCGGGACCTTTCTAATATTTCTTCGAGAAATATTAAAATTATAACATCAGTTCGCTCATCAATAAGACGCTGGTGAGCTATGTAGAATGTTGTCTTGAAATGCCCACTTTTAACATATTTCTTGGTAAGAACAAACACTGTTTTTCTGCTATGCTGTACACTTTCTTGAAGGTTATATACAAAAGGAAGACCTGGCAGCCAGTCTCGACCTTCTAAACATAAATTATACTTTTTATCACCTTGTTCTTCAATAACATTCACAAATTCATTATAAACCCAGTCTGATACAGCAGAATCGGTAGTATCATAGACAATAAATGCATCATAGCAAAATTTAGGAAGTCTCTTATAGTCATTGACCTTAGCTTTAAATACTTGATATATGTACCAAAAATCCCAGAAGAAGAGGTGGCTTGAAATGCAGATCATCGTTAGGCAAATAATAAATGATGTAAAAAAAGAATATAGGATAATATTATAGTTATTCTGTTGGCAGGTAAACAAATCTAAAAGGACCAGGCTCTTCCCTCTGTGTGCCCCAGGTCCTGCGCAAATGACATCAGTTACTAAATTGGGAATGCTCACTTTTGTGCGATTTATCCAAGACACAAACCATACAGCATCACAGGTGCATTTAAACGGATTTCCTTGCAGTTTTAACAAGTTTAAATTATCCAGAACATTCTCAGGAAAACTGGTCTGTCCTATATACTGAATCTTGTTGTCACTTAAATCCAGAAGTTTCAAGGTAAAAGCATTTCTAAGAAAATGAGGAGTTAGCGTTTTGATTTTATTATTACTTAAAATAAGTCTGATGATTGAACATGTGCAGTTTGATAACTCTTGGGGCACTGTAGTCAAATAATTGTAACTTAGGTCCAACACTTCAAGTTTTTGTAAAAAGTGCAGATTTTTCCATTCAAACGTTTTTAAATTGTTTTTTGCCAGATTTAATTCGGTAAGTTTGGGAGGCATACCTTCGAAAACACCATTGGGTATAAATGGTAAAGAATTGTAAGAAATGTCTAGGACAGAAAGTTCAGACAACTTTTTGAAGAAATTTAAGTACCTTTTATCCCCTTCTCTCCATAAAACATTTAAGTTATTTCCCTTGAACTCCAGAGTATGAAGTGATTGACTAATCATTTCGTTATTTGTTGAAGTCGATATTTCATTCCAGTTCATTATTAATTTTTTTAAACTTTTAAGATTGGCTGTAAAATTTAGCATGTGAGTTATGCCTTCTGCTAAAAAGTAATGCTTGTTGTAACTAAGGTCCAATACCTCTAGTTCAGTTAGTTCCTGGAAAGCATTTTGATAGAGAAGATCAACACGATTGTTTGAAAAATCCAAATATTTTAATTTTCTTAGAGTACTAAATTCTGTGCCATTTAGAGTCTGACTAATGGCATTTCCTGACAAATTAAGGCATTTTAGATATCCAAGGTCATTAAAATCTGTAGGTCTTATAAAAAAAAAGTTATTTTGACTTAGGTCTAATGCCATTCCATAAGCTTTGCAATCCTCGTTTACAAACAGCTGAAATCTCGAGTCCTCTTTAATTTTGGATTTGCAGTGTCGGGCATTTTCATCATAAAGAAAATAGTGAATGTCATGGAAACCTCTGACATTATATTGCTCAGGATATGTACTGAAGGCTGAACAAGCAGCTAAAGAAGATCCACCAGAGGGAGATATTTTATTATTGGAGAGAACTACTGTCTGCAGAGAGGGGATTTTTTGAAATGAAGTAAAATCAACTATTTTAATAAAATTTGTTCCTAGATCCAAAACTGTAAGATTTTTTAATTTAAACAAAGGTGATAGATTTTTTTTATTTAATTCCTGAAATACATAACCACGAATTCTTAATGTCTCCAAGGACAACAAACTGGAAAATGTTTTCGAAAGTTGTAAATCTTTAGAATATACTTGAAGTTCAAAGTTGAAAGAGAAATCAAGTTCTTTTAATTTTGGGAGTAGAGTCAAGAAGCCAGCACATCTAATTTCAGACGCCAGAAAATTTTGGGACAAGTCAAGAATTTGGAGGTTCCGGGTATTTTTAAACCATGCACTTGAGACATTGCGCAGTGAGTTGCTGTGAAGGCGTAAAATCCTCAGGTTTTTTAGAGTGGCAAAAGCATTTGGGTGTATGTTGATTGGAGCTCCATTTTCACATGGAATGCATGGAAATGGTGAATTATAACATCTAGGGCAATTTCCACTTAAATCTAGAATCTCTAAATTGTACATATTTTTTAAATCATATTCGTGAATGTATTCAATTCTGTTGTTATAAAGATACAGTTCCCTTAACGTACTTGAGAGACCTTCAGGAACATAAGACAAGTTGTTTGATTTAATAGATAAAATGGTTAAATTAAGTAAGTCTTCAAAGGCATCCTTTTCAACATGGAAAGAGACATTGCAAGGGTTTCTGTAATAACAATTCTGTCCAAGGTATAACATTTCAATATTAGATATTCCAGTAAAGTTCTCTTTGTAGAGAGAAAATATAGTATTGGCTTCAAGACTCAATAGTACTAAGTTTACTGGAAGACCTTTTGGGATTTTTAGAAGTTGGTTTCCATCCAAATAAAGAGATCTTAAATTGTTCATTGATGAAAAGCTTCCATCCTTAATAAATAATCTATTAGTACAAACTCTGTCTTTTGGTCCCAGCATTATAGGTACACAGTTGCAGCGAAAATCAAGTTCAATTAAGTCCTTCAGGTGAGCAAATGATTCTGGTAAAATTTCTGGGATATGATTAATAGTCAAGGTCAAATTAGTGACATTGGAGGGAATTCCCGGTGGGATTTTGATCAACCGGCGATCACTGCAGTCCACAATTACAGTGGCACTTTCTTCATCATTTATCACATCACAAGGTAGGCTTTTAGGAAACCACATAGCTGTCAGACATTTTGAAAACAGGAAGATGGAGAAGAGGAACAATATTCTTGACATAGTCAGGAAAAATATCTGCAAACAATGCAAAAGTAGATTATTAACAGCCATTTGTGTCATTAAATAATTTATCAAAGCTTTGGTGCGTTTATAGATTAGATAATTAGAAAGACAATTTTATTACACACCATAATAATAGAGAACGTATAAATATGTATAGTTACAATAGAATTCAATAATAACATATAAAGGATTGCTATAGTAAACGGGCTGACAATGCCAATTTACAATACATATGATGATAAGTAAAAAGGTTATTAAATATAAGTGAACTCAGTTAGTCTAACCCAGTAAAATATGTTTTCATTTACAGGATCCACGCACTACAACACTAACCCCACTATACCCACTACAACCTCTATTACCCCTTGTACCCACTATAGCCCCTAACCCTCCTGCACTCAGTAAAGCCAATGAGAGGCAACTACTATAGCTCCTATCCGTCACCTTCACCTACTACTGCCCCTATCTCTCTGCACCTATCCTGTACCCAATACCGCCCCAATCCCCCACTGCAAACAATAGAAATCCTATCTCCCCTGCTCCTACAACAGCCTCTATTTCCACTGTGACCACCACAGCCTCTAGTCCTCTCTGCAACCACTATAGCCCCTTACCAATTTCTGCACAGATTACAGCTGCCCTAGCCCCCTGCACACACTGCTGCCCCTATCCCCTCTGTACCCTCTTCAGATACAATCTCCTACCCTATCACCCCCTGTACCCTCTTCATACACACATACTCTCCCACCCTGTTCCACTTATCATTCAACTATCTAGTCACATTTGTCATTTAATCATACCCCACGCTTGTCGTATCAATGGATCTCATGCACCAAACTTTGTATGTACACTATATGGACAAAAGTATTGGGACACACCTCTTAATTATTGAATTTAGGTGTTTCAATCAGACCCATTGCCACAGGTGTATCAAATAAAGCACCTATCCATGCAGTCTGCATTTACAAACATTTGTGAAAAAAAGGACCATGTAAAGTCATAGAGCAGGGGTCACCGAGTGCTTAAAAACATGGTGCGTAAAAGTTGCCAAGGCGCTGCTAATTCCATAGCTGAAGAGATCCAATATTCCACTGGCATTAATATCAGCACAAAAACTGTGCAGAGGGAGCTACGTGGAATGAGTTTCCATGGCGGAGCTCCTTGTAAGCCTCACATCACCAAGTATATTCCCAAGCGTCTGATCAATTGTGCAAAGCAATGTACTCTGGAGCAGTGGAAACATGTTCTGTGGAGTGACAAATCAGGCTTCTGTGTTTGTCAGTCTGATGAACATTACCTGCCTGACTGCATTGTGCCAATTGTAACATTTAGTGGAGGAGGCATAATCTTATGGTGCTGTTTTTCAGGGCTTGGGTTAGGTCCCTTACTTCCAGTGAAGGGGAATCTTATTACTATGCTTCCAACTTTGTGGAACAGTTTTATATTGCATAGCATGACTGTGCCCTAGTGCACAAAGCAAGATCCATAAAGACATGGTTGGATGAGCTTGGTGTGGTACAACACCCAGAGCCCTGACCTCAACCCTATCGCATAGCCTTGGGATGAATTGGAAAGGAGATTGTGAGTCAGACCTTCCAGACCTCACAAATGCTCTACTGGATGAATGGGAAGAAAATTCCCACAGAAACACTCAAAAATCTTGTGGAAAGCCTTCCAAGAAGAGTGGAAGCATTCATAGCAGCCAAGGTAGGACCAATTATATATTAAGATCTATGTATTTAGAATGCAATGTTATAAAAGTCCCTGTTGATGTAATGGTCAGGTGTCTCAATACTTTTGTTCCCCTGTTCCCTATTGGTTTGGTGGTTGCAGCTCACATTCTATGGGTGCTGACCATTCATCGTTCTTCAACATGTAAGGCATGTAAGGCATGAAATCGAAAGACAGGATGTTTGTTCAAGTTGACAAAAATGTATGTATCAACCAAGCTATAGTAGTGTTTGATGCCACTGTTAATATTATTATTATTTTTAGCATTATTTGACAGGTATGTCTCATGACCATGTCACACAACAGTGCTTCTCCCATGATTTGACATTGCAATTATCACTGGTTGCAATAATTACCCTGTTTTGACATTTGCTTTATGCAGTTTGCCTGGAGTAATTATACACACTATTGTTTGTATCCTATAAAAACAAAAATAGACATGCATTATATTTATATTTTTCCATGAGTTGACTTCAACATGAATATATAAATAAGGACAGTTTATGACACATAGATGATTTGAAATTAACCTGAACTATGAAATCCAGATAATTGTCTTATGTAAATAAAAATAAACTTTATTCCAAACTAAAGTAGCAAAAATATACCAAAAACCTAACCTTTTTCAAAGCTATGCATTATTTATTCTTAAAGCAGCCCTCTCATCAAAATCTAATTTCTGGGCATTTTATAAATAATCTTTATGAAATACTGATATGACTGCATTGGAATTTCATTGACATGGCTCCTTGCAGATCAAGTGGCAGGTGCTGAAGAAACAAGATGGCACTGACAATGGGGTGGGTATACCTCATCTCTGCTGCACCCCTCCTGCCACACATCTGGCTGGGATGTCACCTTCGAGGGTCTTGGCAAAATATGGTAAAACCATAAGGGTGACACATATGGACATCTTGTGTATTCAGTCTGTTAATTTTTATATTAATTGATTCAAAACATGTTTACCTAGATAACTTGGACTTCATGGTGGCATATGAGACCACAAAGGATACTATGCAGCACCAAAAGAAAATTATTTTTTTCACAGGAAGGCTGATGACAAAACAATGAACATTATAGTAGATCAAAAGGGAACAAAGGATGCCAAAACAGGGACATTCCAGACTTTACATTGCAAGAGATTAGATAGGAATGTATTACTATTGTGATCAGGGGTAGGCAACCTTCAGCACTCCAGATGCTGTGGACTACATCTCCCTTGATGCTTTGCCAGCATAATGGTTGTAATAGCATTATGAATATATTGGTCTAGATACATGGGCAGTCAGACAGACAGATAGGGAGAGAAGTTGGACAGACAGACACACATCTAAATATAGTATCCCAAATCTTATGTAACCAAATACTAACTGTATCCTACAACATCTGTACTCATGGTTAGGAGATCCTGTATTCTAGTTCCTTAACAAAATCTCTTGATTTTTTTAGATAGCATGAAAGTCTACACACTTTAGTCTTGTATTTATGCTTTTAAAGTTCAAATACTGGTGAGCTATTACTAAACAGCATGCATTATGAAAGTAGAACTCAAATACAGCAATTATCGTTGTCTTTCTTCCAACGAGTTATGTGGTACATTAAAAAATACTACTAATAATAATCTGTATAATAATGGATGTATAGACATAGATCCACAAACATGACATGCATTAATAAACATATCTTGAAAATATAAAATACCTTGCAATGCATCCTGCTGCCAAAAACTTTGATGAAATAGAGAGATAATCTGGTGATTATTTGAAGAAATCTTTTTGTAATTTTAGAACAACTTCGTCCTGTACAGCCAACCGTTCTTCCCATTTGATATCTACTAATTCTGTCTCTCCCCCACACATATTGTTGTGAAACTGTGGTTACTGATTGTGCAAGTTGTAGTTGGTTGATACAAAAAGAGAAGTGATTTTGGTTTACATCCATCTGTCATACTTAGCATTGCATGTGATAAAATTACATTAAAGGGGCTCTCCAAAAGTCATAATAACTCATTTTTCTTTTACAAACTGTTGCAGTTTTAATGAGCAGAGTAAAGTTTACTTAAAAAGGAAATTTGAATCAAGATACCCCTTCGGATGTTAAAACACCACCTTTCCTTACATGATCGTACATGTCAAGGAAGCACTATATACTCCTAACAAACCTGCAAGATGTTTGCAAAACTTTATCTGAGAACCCAAAGGGTGTCAAATTCATGCAAATCCACAATAGATGCATTTTTGGAAAAACATGAATGGAGCCACTCTCATAAACAGCTTTTACAATGCTTATTCATGTATGTAGTTTTCTTGGTCCCTGTAGAGTGTAGAAGTTACAGATTGGCAGCAGATGAAGGTGGGATTCAGGGTTTTATCTTTTCTTGCAATGCATTATTTCAGAAGAAGTTTAACCCAGCAGTTTAACGTTTCCTGGAATGAATTTCTTTGAGTACAAAGATAGAATGTCCCTGGTTTCCTGGGTGGTACGATATACACAGTACATATTCATGTGGTCTGTTTCACTATGTTGCAATAGAACATCTGAAAAAATAATAATAATAATGTCTCTAACATCTTTGATATACAGAAAATCAGTTGAAGCGTGTATATGGTTGTTTTGCAATCTCAAGTTACTTTTCCATGTAGAGATCCAGAGCTGCCATTGAATTTAGCTGGTTTTCAAGATTTTGCAGTGTTGTTATTTGCACTAAATGAGAAAAATGGCAATTCCCAGAATAGCATACAGATAGCATACTGTAAGAAAAAGATTTAAAAAGTATGCAAAAACTCAAGAGAAGTTGCAATGGCAAAGCTCCTAATGGATCTACAAATTCACAAAGGTGGGTCTGAGTTAATGTTAGTTGCAATGGTCAAAATGAAGAATATTTACAAGAATATCAGTTTTATTATATTATTGTGGTTCCAATCTTTAGTGTGCAATGTGTATCTGAATAGCAAGACAGATCAGAACAAAGACGTATGAAATACCAACTTCATAGTCACCAAGGAGTAAATAACAGCCAATCACAAGGCTTCTGCAATTTGTGAGTGCATTTTATATATACAAATACACTGGGAATTATCAACCAAAGACATCAAAAAACATTTATGGACTTATGTTTTCCATGTATACTGACACCAAAGAAGATGAGACGTCTAGATGTACCCTTGCAATCCTGGGATGCTATATTAAATGGGTTTTATGTACCAAAACAACTTTAGCTTAATGAAGCACTTCTGGTGTATAGATCTTGGCCCTGCAGTGTCACCACTCAGTTCCTCCCATGTGGCATTTAAAATATACTCACAGACTACCTGGACAATATGCTGCCTACTTCATCTATGGCATTTTACTTTCTATTCCCTATGGTAGAAGGCGGTATGTTAAATGGGTGAGGGAGTTTAGGTTGAAGGAGATGCTATTCTGAACCTTGTCATGTTTTTTACAATATGGTAACATGCAAAATCTTGGGCTGTGAGATTGGTGTCAAGAGGGGTAGCATCAGGGCAGAACAGGGAGTTGAAGATGTTAAACAGGTGTTTGGGACTCTGAGAGTAGCAAGCATTAATAATTTGTTGTAAAATTAATTCACATGAAAATAGAGAGAAAGCTTTAAATCTGAGCAGTTGAGAAAATGTTTGCTAAGTTTCAGTTCATCAAAAAATGAAAGTTCACTGAAGCAGAGTATTTACCCTTCATGTATGCACCAAGGGATTTGTACATCACGGATGTTAATGTCCCAGTTCTATTTTTGTGCATTAAGGTAAAAAAAAAAAAAGTATATTCATTGTTAACAGCTTTAGATAAGTCTCCACATTTATGATAATTACAATAATGAAAGCTAAAGCATGCCATATGCGTAAGTTTTTAAATCAATGATGGTTGTAGAATATATCCCATGATGCTTTGTCAGGTTTAAGACAAAGCTGGGGATCTACCCACTGGCCACCTGTGTTTAAACTCTTTAAATTTGCTTAAAAGAAAATATACATTTTATTTATTTTCCTCGGGCATGGAAAAAAAAACCTCTACTTGTCCAAGGGACGAAAGTAGAAGCCCATGCTTGTTTTTTGTCATCACAACCTACTTGTCCTGACGAAAAATTATTTTATTTATAAAGACTGTAGCACCTGCCGAGATCCCTGGACATTAAAAGTGCTATTTGCTAAACTCTGAACTTTCACAAATTATATATGAAAGGAGATATTGAGGCAAAAATAGTCATGTTGTGACTGTTGCAGAATTAGAGAATTTTTTTAATCAGCTATATTTGCCTTAGCTTTTCCATTTGGATTTATTTAGCAAAAACTCATAGTTTAGACCCTGAGGAGTCAGGCAAGGCCTAGACTGAACAGGGACATGTGAGTGAATTTTGGAGAAATTTGGTAAGGAGGTTTGTTCACAGTGGCTGGAGTATTAGAAACATAGAAACATAGAAACATAGAATGTGACGGCAGATAAGAACCATTCGGCCCATCTAGTCTGCCCAATAATAAGGTGGCAAAGGGGTGGGTTAGTATAAAAAGGTAGGCAGCTAACTGGATAGCAGCCATCTTAATTATCAGTTGGTAACAGCTTAAAGGACCACTCTAGGCACCCAGACCACTTCAGCTTAATGAAGTGGTCTGGGTGCCTGGTCCAGCTAGGGTTAACCCATTTTTTTATAAACATAGCAGTTTCAGAGAAACTGCTATGTTTATGAATGGGTTAAGCCTTCCCCCTAATCCTCTAGTGGCTGTCTCATTGACAGCCACTAGAGGCGCTTGCGTGCTTCTCACTGTGATTTTCACAGTGTCACCACCTACTCGGCTGTTTCTTCCAGGACAGTAACTATGTAGTCCTATGCCTGCCCATGGGTTGTTCGATCTCCTGTTTCTGTTTTGAGTGTTTCAGCAAGTTCCTGGAATGGGTGGTGCGGGAGGAGCAGCCTGTAATTCGCTCCTACATTACTTGGATGATTTCCTCTGTGTTGGTCCTGCAAGTTCGGATGTGTGTTCACATCTTCTTCGGACGCTGGAGTTGGTATCACATTTTTTGGGGGTTCCACTGGCCCCTGATAAGATGGTGGGTTCTTACACGTGTTTGAGTTTCTCAGGGATTGAGACAGATTCGGTTGCTGGTGAGTATCGTTTGCCGAAGGATAAGGTATTGGATTTACCTGGTCTCGGCCATTGAGTTTCTCAAGAAGATTCAATTGCGACAGCTGCAGTCGCTCTTGGGTAAGCTGCAATTTGCATGCCAAATTATTCCCATGGGTTGGGTGTTTACTTGACACCTGGTGGCGGCGACCGCTGTGGTGGAGCGCCCTGATCATTATGTGTGAATTACTCGCCCCTTGCGTAAGGACCTGGCAATCTGGTCTGTCTACCAGGAAGGTTTTAATGGTCATTCGTATTGGCAGGTGCCTGAGGTGTCCAATGCTGATCTACACCTCTTTACTGAAGCAGCCGGAGAAGTGGGTTTTGGGGCCAAATGGTGTGCAGACTCCTGGACTGATTCTGTTTCCCCTTTTGTCTCCGTAGGTGCCGGAAGGCGAGTGTGGGTCATTGGCCATTCTTACATTTATTGGGCACAACAGAGGGCTGGAGTTGGTGCTGGGGGACTACAACTTGGTCTTTCGCCAACAGTGGCAGAGGTCCGTTGGTTTGGTTGCCGGGGAATGCGGTGGGAGCACCTGTTGCCGAGGCTGTGTATTATTTGGTCCGAGGTGTTATCCTGAAAATATTGGAAGGGGGCTAGGGACCCCAGGGCTCTTGAACAGAGCAGGATCAAGTTAAATAAATGGGTTACTCAATTTGTGAAGGGAATGGGGGGACTCACAGTGCATCATAGCATCTTTGAGAAAAACGCAGCAATATATTTTAAGGGTGATGGGGTCCACCTTACGGAGGTAAGACTGGATTTATTTAATTTGGCATTGCACAATGCATTGGAGGAGGCCTTGGCTTTGGTGTTGGGGCTGATTTAAGGGTGATATATGGCCTTTGCAACCATGAGTTGGACCAGCAGTCTGTGGAAAGTGGATGGGGAGGGCTCTCCCTCCCCTAACCTCAGGTACAGTAATGGATAACAGACGTGCCCACAGAGACAGTTATTGGTTAGTGGTTAGCATCATGTGGATGGAAAGCCCAGGAAAAGGCTTTGTGCTGGTTGGAACGAGGGGGGAGGGCATCTGCCCTAAGTTATGTTTTCATTTGGCAAGGTGGTACTTAGTGGTGGAGATTTATTTGCTGAGCAATTATGTATATAGTGTTTTATGTTATAAAGTTGAAGTTTAAAGATTTATATATTTATATTTTAATAAAGCTGTGACCTATTTTCTCCAAACATAAGTCTGTGGTTGTTATTTTGGGAAATATGTGGTTGGGGTGTTATTGGTGGGTTAAGGTATGCCCATACACATTTACCCTCTACCTATGCACATGTGAATTACCCTAAACGTCTCACCCCTTTCCCCCCCATAGCTTCTCCCTGTGTTGTAGAGTGTGTGGTATGTACTGGATATGTGTCATTTGTGCACAGTGAATGATGGTTGTGGTTGGTGTGTGCTTGCTGTTTGGTTTATGCAATATGAGTTTATGTGTAATGTGTTTATGTGTAATGTGTGCTGGCTGTATGTAATGTGCATGTGCTGGCTGTATGCAATGTGTAGTGTGTTGTCTGACACACTGACACACACTTAGATACAGACACTGGCACACACACTGACACCGACACACACACTGACACACAGATACACACACTGACACACATACTCATATATACACACTGGCAAACAGATACACACACT